ATATATATATATATCATTACTAATGCATATATATTAAAATAAAAAATAATTATAATTAAATTTATATACATACATAATATACATATTAAAATAAAACTAATTATAACTAACATATATACATATAATATATATTAAAAATAAGATTTATATGTATATATATTAGTTATATATACAAAATATACATATACAACTAATATATATAATTATAATTATATACAAATCCCTAATTAGTTGTATATGTATATTTTGTATATATAACTAATTATAATTATATATATTAATTGTATATGTATATTTTGTATATATAATTAATATGTATACATATAAATATTATTTTTAATATATATTATATGTATATATGTTAGTTATAATTATTTTTTAATACATATATTATGTATATACATAAATTTAATTATAATTATTTTTCTTTTAATATATATGCATTAGTAATGATATATATATATATATTTATATATTGGAGTTGTGTGTATATGTATTTTATTAATTATAAATAATTTTTTTTAATATATATTTGTATATATATATATATATATGAATTTATATGTATATATTAATTTAAATATATGTAAATAAAAATTTGAATATTTAATAATATTTTTTTGCTGAGTCAACACTTTTTGCTGAGTCAGCGGGTTTTTTTTGCTGAGTCATTGCTGAGTCAGCAGTTTTTTGTCGAGTGAACAGTAACGTTTAACGCCGTTAACGGATGAGTGGTTGATTTAGAAAAAATTTAAAAGTCTGGGTATTTATGTGGGAGTTATGAAAAGTTCATGTATTTATATGACAATTTTATAGTTTGAATATTTATGTAGGATTTTTGTAAAAGTTCGGGTATTTAAATGCGATTATCCCTTATTATTACTACCTACCTGAAAGCTCGATAAATTGATATTCGGCGTTTGTAGTTAGTTGTTTAGGCCCAAATATTCTCAAGCCCATAAGAAACCTTTTAGGCCCATTTGTTCTAAATGGGTAGAGGCCCATAAACAAATTCCTCGTTAGTTTACCCAAGAAACGAGAATCAAACGCTCTCTCTCTCTCTCTCTCTCTCTCTCTCTCTCTCTCTAACCTTCTTCTCCGTCGCTCTTCTCTGTGCTTCAAACCCTAATTCATAAGCAGAAGTTTCCAGCCAAAATTCTGAGTGAAGGGTAAATTCTCGATCTTACCTCTGGTTTCTGTACTATTTCTCTCTGGGTCGTTTGAACGAAGAAAAATCAAAGAACACACACATACACCGATATATAAACGAAAATACACAGATAATCTATGATTTCTGAGAAACGATGAAAACCCTCCAATACAGATCGTTCTTGATTTTATGATATTTTCCGTACATGAAGACATATTTATGTTAACTGCATGTTCAACCCGAGAAGAAGAAAAACCCTAAGAGATGAGTGTTTCTCCTCCACTCTTTATCCTGTCTGATATGATCTATTTCTGGGTTTCGTGTTTTTTTTACAAAGAACACAAACAGCCAAACGGGATCGAATCACTGGAAAGTAATTGATTTCGAGCCTTGATTTGTGATCTTGAATCAACTTCCACAACAGAATTAATTACTTGTGTGGTGGTGAGGAGAATCAATCGATGGGTCCGAGGATACGTAGTGTTTCGGTCTCTCTTTTTTTTTTAATGAATCGTGATATAAAATATGATAAATATTAAAATAGTATATATCAAGAACTTGTTATGGCCTATGTTGTCAGTGATTTTTCAGGTTTCGATGCTTCTGTATGTCATTCATTATGGATCCATGCGTGCTGTTATATTGATATGGCCTATGTTTTTTTTTTGTATTCAGGTTGATTCACCGGATCGGTCCAACTACATCCTATCCGGAGACAGAAGACAGTTTTGTTGTAATTAAATTGCATCTTTCCTCCCGACCCGTTGCTCGAATATGGGATCTATGGTACATGTCCCACCCCAACCACACTTTACAACTAGAGCTACAACCACTTGGTATATGGCCTATGTTGTATGCTTCTGAATGTCATTCCATTAAGATCCATGCATGCGTGATGTTAGATTGCCTTTTGAACGATTGAAATTAAAACCCACAAGAGAATGTTAATGAAGCACCGATCATGAAATCTCATAACCATTGGAGCACAACTTAAGGTTTGACCCCATCCATCCCACGTACGGACATAACCACTCTTGTAATCCTATAATTCTCTTATTTCAGTCCATAACAAAAACCCTAAAAGGGTAGTATTTTGTGCTTGTCTACTTTCCCGTTTAAGCCAGAAGAGATCAAACCAAGAAAAGCTTCTTCTTTGCAAGGGATAGTCAGAGCGCCCATCTGTGGATTGAATCCGAACTCTTCCTCAGCCCGTTTGATGAACCCCATGAACAAAGGATGGTTGATGTACGACACCGGAATGACGAATCTCTTCTTCTCCTCCTTGTGTTCTCCCACGTACACAGGGAGATGACCCTTTGGCACACGGCCATCCGACGAAGACGACGACCTGTTTTCCTTCACAAGGGAATACGGGTTTAAGATTTTCTTTGCATTGGAGATGCTTAATGACCTCATCAAACCCATCTTTGACGCTTAAGGACCAAAACAAGGGGATTATCGGACCAAAGAGGATAGTTCTAGGAAGGGTTTTGTGAGGAAAATGATTTGGAGAATGTCTCTATTTATAGTGTTTATGAGAAACTTTCAACCTAGGAAATTAAAGATTCGAGTTTTTTTTAATCGATAAACCCTAAAAATTCGTGGGCTGTTTTTGGAGCCATTTTCCCTCGTATTCGTCATCAATCTTCAGGCTCTGAACAACATGGCTGAGCTCATAAGGTCAAGTGGGGTCCGCTGACTCATGATTGACTTTTGCATCGCGAGAAGGGACAATGTGTGCGTAATCTCGCTTGTAAGTACCTTCGAGACTCTAGGGCCGTACGTTTCCATGCTCATATACTTAGACCATTGGTTCCGTTGTTATGATAATTGGACGGTCGAGATTTTTTATTTTATTTTATTCGCGGTTCACTAGAGATAGTTAGATGACAGATTGATTATTTCACGAATGCAAAAGTTATGGATCATCATTCATTAGTGCCAAATAAAATGGAATTCTAATTCAATTAACCGTGTAAATATAATATATGGCCGTCTTTCCCATGTTATCTTCAATTTGCTCGGACTCTAACACCGAAGCTCGATTTTGAGTATTTTCATTGATTCATTTCCTTCTTGATGTTCCATTTTAGAAGATATATATATAAATAAATCATTTGTTGAACGATAATGCCCGAGTTAATTGTATGATTGGCGCTCTTTTTCCTTTCAAATGTTTTTAAGGTCGGGAATTTAACATCCGAGATCGCTAGTATAATTTCTTCTATATGAGAATATAACATTTGTTTGAAACGACTATAATTAGCGTTTTACTTAAACGACAAATTAATACTTTTTCGATACGCGTTTGCGGTACTATTTGAAAACGATAAATTAGCGTGTTTTTTTCGAAACGACAAATTAGTATGTTTTTTTCGAAACGACAAACTAGAAAGTATATTTATACCGACAAATTAACGGTTTTGAAAACGATGCATTACTATTACCTTTTTTAAAACAAGAAATTTGAACTTTTTTCATACCTCCAATGAGATAGAAAATGAGTTCCAAATTAAGAAAACGGTTGTTTAAATAAAATGTAATATTGATTGATTAGCTTAATGGATAGCCTTATCCATTGGCAACTAAATATCCATCTTCAAAGGATGGCATTGTGACTATCAAAATGTATTGATTCATCCTTCATATGAATGCAACTAGTGAAACTATGTATAATATATTGTATATTTTTTTAAAATAGAATTATATAATACTATTTTTTTTTTCTCGTGTAGTCCAAAAGGGTGTGTGTTTTGTAATTTGTATGATGAAATAAATTACGGAGATTTATAAATTTATACATTTGGACAACAAGAAACAATAACATGTCAAAGTGCATAGTATACCCTAATTGAGTTCAGTTAAAGTATTGTTGTGGCAAATTCATATGTACAACACACTATTAATGTGTCGGAATTTTATTGATTGGTAACTGTTTGTAATACCCACTAGATTTGAGTAGTGTATTTGAAGCAACAACCAATATAATTATTAACCTAAATTGATAGTCACTGCCCGATCATAAAATGGATATTTCCAACTATATCTTTTTATTTATTTATTTTTAGTCCTAGGATTATATATATAATACAATCTACGCTAAGTAACATTAATTTTGAAAATTATCCGTTTTAACAAATATAATTTGAAGTATGTCGGTCCAATCAAAGCTTTTCTTACGAGGATCTTCATAAGTTTATTATCTATAAAGAAAATAACATATAAATATCTAAGTTTTTATAAAAACTTTCATATAAGTATTTAATTTTTAAAAAAATTTACATAAATATCTAAATTTTTAAAATTTTCCAAATACTTGAATTTTGAATTTAATAAAAAACTCAAAAATTTAGATATTTATATAAAAAAATTTAAAAATTCAAATATTTCTATTGAAAATTTATAAATTTTATAAATGATTGAAATTCTATAGTTTAAATATTTATTTATGATTTTTTTAACAAATCTAGTTATTTATATATACGATTTTTCATATCATATATAATCATATAAATAATTTTCAGATATCTCATATAAGTGTTACCAGCTTTTATAGATTTTTTTATATATTCGATGCACAGTGTTCCATGTGCGTAGTAATATCAGTTACTCAGATGATAACCAATTACATGCTATTCCAAAATTCTGAAAAAAAAAATAGAAAATAAAAAACCATTATATAAAAAAAATGGAGAAATGACTGCAGCTTTCAGTTGCGGCTATTAATGGGATCATGATTCAATTGGCACGTGCACTGACTCCAACATTTGATTTTATCCGTGTATATATATATTAAATATATTGGACGTGATGTAAGTCCTTCAATATATATTATATTGGATTCATACGTTTGCATATACATTAAATATATTATATATACGGTGTGATATTTATCTGATAAGGACGTGATGTAATCATGTAAGTCCTTCGATATATAAAAATTTTGCTTAACTTATAAGGATATAAAAGTTTAGGGCTAACTCTTCTTTGTACGTAATGATTTATTACAACAATTATTAACTGTCCCGTATACATATAAATTAAAATTGAATGGGAAGTTCACATATTAAATGCTACAGAGAAATTAAGGTAAAAAAAATATCACACTTAAAAAAGACAGAGAATAAGGTACATAACCTTTTTTTATTAATTAATCATTAGCTAATTGAAATATTTTTTATTATTCTTGCAAGGTCCATATAAATGTTATGAAAATGTGTAATATGAATTGAATTGTGTGGCCATAATATAAATATTTTTTTTCTATGCTTAAGAAACGCTTTAGAGTTCATCGCGTGAATGTGGCAATTAACTGAGTTCTGTTAACACTAATCAGATTTATTGATTTGATTTCACAAATTTGCATAGGCTAATGCATCAACAAAATAGACAACTTAAAGACTGTTAACCCAACAGATCGTGGGCGAGTGGTCAAGGTTGGGGTAGGAGATAACTACACCTTGAGATTGAGTGTTCGATTCCTGACTGGTGGGAAGAGAGGTAATTTCTAGGTTTATATGATCCATATACAAAGGCTGTTCTCGGGATGGAGGTTTACCTAGTCAGCGCGCCCGAAAGGGTGGCAGCTAGGGGTCCTCCATTATAAAAAAAAAAACTTAAAGACCGTAAAATATCGATATTCGACATATCGTTTCATTTTTATTTTTATTCTGTTTGATTATGCAATAAGGTATGTTTGGGGAAAGCGTTTAGTCTTATTCATCAACAAACATGATAATTAATAAATATCATAATTTCCACTACGTTTAGAATTTTTTTTTATATATGGTTCTATTATTTCCACAAAATAATATATATGGATAAAGGATTCTAAGTCGGTGTGTTTACGCTCCATATTTTAAGTGCACCTCTCATTTCCCTCGTTGATTAAACGCGAGATTTTGCAAGATCTACCAATATATTTTCTTTTGTCAGCTATTTATTTTCAATTGTAACCCGATAAAGGACCGAATGCAATCTTGAAAAACACATAAATCATTTCATACACCAACTCATAGCTAGGGGTGTCAAAAAAAATTCGAGGCTCGGTACTCGGTACTCGGCTTGAGTCCGCCCGATAAATTTACGGGTTTGGGCATACAAACTTATATCCGAATATATATCGGGCCGGGCCAAATTACGGACTCGGGCCGGGTTGAGAGCTATTAATAAGGAGATAGGTATCCTAATTCACCTGTCGGATTGGGACACTTTACGTGTTTGGTTCCTTGGATCATGACAAAATAAGGGCCTACGTTAATTAGTTTTCCTCATTTGACAAAACCTCGTTTATATTATTTGGAGAAAGGGAGTGTGATACTCGAATACACATTATATTCTGGGATTATCGGATCACAAAATTATTTTTTTTTTCCAAATATTTTTTGTATGTATGTATTCGTTGTGGGACACATATTCATGTGTCCAACTATATTTTGCATAATCTGCGTTTTTTTTAATAAAAACAAACATCGATTCTGTCGGTCTAAATAAGATAATTACAGGTTTCTATGTCCGGATCAGCTCCTCATCCGAGGATTTTCATAAGATTATTATTTAAGATCGGTCCAACAATTCATATATGTTACAAGATGTTTTTAATATAATTTTCCCAAATATTTGATGTTGTAGTAAAATAAATGTCCAAATAAAAAAAGGAGAATAGAGGCTTTAGCTAGTACGTATGTACATGTATATGTATATATGTATGCATGTATGTATGTGTTGACCAGCTGTACGGGTTGCATTGACTGTTATATTGCACTCGAATGATTTATGATGATAAAATGTGTGCATAGATATAGGCTATTTTCATATTTTGTAGGTGTTGTGGCCAATTTTTTTTATAATCTAAAAATTAATCGAATATTCGACTTAACTATATGTCTCAATCCATGTGAATGATTTTTCTCAAATGAAGATTCACATGGATGTTTGGAATTTCAGATTGCCAATTCAATGTTAGATTGTCGGATTTCGTTAAATAACTGCTTCAATATCATGTAGTTATCTAGGAGTCACTGTAAAGTTTATAAATTTAATTAAATTTTTGGAAAAGTTTGCGTAAAATTGTAAAAATTTTAAAATTCGTAAGTTAGTCCGATATATCAATCTAAGGGTTGATAATAAATTCATATATTTTTATAGAATTGTCACATTTTCTAACCGTATTTGTTTCATAATTTTGTGAAAAAATATGATTATTAATAATATAAAAAAAAAAAGCCAAAAGTAGTTTACAGTAACGCAAAGCAATTTAGCAGATTCCATAAAAGTTGTAAGTCATTACGAAACACATTAAATTCATTATCTGAATCTTTAACTCAAAGTAGATTTCATTGTACTGTCCAATCAGTGCCCATCTTTTTGTCGGCAATTAAGTGTGATTTAAATTCGTTTAAAATTACCGCAATTACTCGTTGGCACTTTGAGTATATTTTATTCTATTTGTTAAATGAGATTTGCCAGCATTAAAAAAAAACAAAAGCATACCATTTATTTATTTTTAAAAAAATAATTTTAACTAGCATTATTTAATTATTTTTTTGAAATTATTTCCTAGATAGAATACATATAACAGCATACTAAAGAATTACCAAACTCTGCACAATAAACCAAATATCAAATGAAAAATAAAAAGTTATATATATATATATATATATATATATTATCTTAAATCCATATTAAGAAACTGAATTCTTTACAAATTGAATGGTTAAAGAACTCATAGGAACGATCATTTCTTGGATCCAAAATTGAAGAAACTTGCTTGCAGTCTCTCATCATTCGGATGAAATAAAAATTATGAATACAGAAAAAGAACCAAGAAAAAACTTCAAAATGGGCTGAATAATGATAATCAAATGCCCATAATTATGAACCGCTAAGTGCAGAAGCAAGAGCCGTGAAGTAATCTTCGCTGCAAGGGATCGTAAGGCCGCCCATCGGATGGTCGAACCCGAATTCTTCCTCGGCCAGGTTTAACAAATCTTGGAACAAATGATGGTTCAGATAGGATATCGGGATCACGAATCTCCTCTTCTTGCACGTCTCCCCCACATAAACAGCCACGTGGCCCTTCGGCACGTTGTTAGTACCCGACGTGGCCAAGAGGCTCGCGATTCTCGCCGACAAACTTCTCCGAAGCTTTTGCTTTGCGTGAGACAATCCCGTCAATTGAATGCCCATTTCAGAAAAAGAAAGAAGATGGGATCTTTGAATAGTTTTAGTGGTTGATCAAGAAATGGTGTGTTATATGTCTGTATAATATTTATATATATATATATATATATAAGTAAATATGTGGATACGATGAGTGTAATTTGTAAGAGGAACATATCAGGTGGAGGAAATGGTTGAAGTCCACATGCTTGTGTCTTGTCCTTTTACAAAAAAAGCTTTGTTCTTTTGGGAGTATTTTACGAAACATGTCATGACCCTACAAGTGTTTTTGATGAATCGAACCGAAAATTGAAATGGAGAAAACATGCAGACACAACTTGTGAAAATTATTGTGCATTAACATGTCCCCAATTGAAAAAAAAAAAGAATAATGCTTCCAAGTTAATCTTATTCGGAGAATTTTCATAAAACGAGACGATTCATTTGACCCTACAAGTGTTTTTGATTCAAAATGTTATTGATTTCTGAATCTTGGGTATACCATTTGGTATCGGGTATTTGGAAATTCGACACAAAAAACTTATATGAAGTAATTAAGCACCAATTCCCCGGATTTCACTTGGAAATGTAACAACGAGAATAGGAAAGAACGATGAAAATTTAACGTGATTCGATCATAAATATTACCCCCATTAACCGTTGATTTGATTACGGTAATGTTTTATGAGGTAATTTCCTCACGTTTTGATAATAAGTTAATGTGGTAAAGCAAAAGCATATGCATTTGTTTGCAACCACTTTAGAATATATGTCTGAATATTCAGATGGACTGAACTTACCCTTAAAAGCAAATCAAATAAAAAAAAAGAGATCTATAAATGGACAAAATTGTAGAGACAGAGAGCACCTAATGGTTATCGTTTAGTCTTTTCTCATGATGAACAAAAAAAAAATCTTTTTCTTTTCTCTCTTCTGTATCTTCATGTGCTAAAGTGGATCATACTATATATAGATAATGATGAAATGGAATTTATATTTCTAATCTTGCTTGTTGTTATCCACTTATAACTTTGGACTGTCTTGAATTATTTCAAGGTCAAAAAGGCAAATCATTTTATTCGGAGCCTAATGCACGGGCCGAGGCTTCATCAACCACACGCAGCGTTTGACCGCAAAATTTTTTTTTTTAAAAAAAAAGCCAAGTTTTTGGAAGATCTCATGAAGACCCCATTGGTGGATATCAATGTTCTGCAATATCTTTTTAATGGA